TAGAATATCCTTGAATGTGTTGTTAATGAAGTGCTGAAAAGTAGCTGGGGCATTAGTGAGGCCAAATGGCATGACTGAATATTCAAAGTGTCCATGGGGTGTTTGGAAGGTGGTCTTCCACTCGTCCCTTGCTCGGATGTGTACTAAATTGTAGGCCCTTCAAATATTCTGCTTGGTGAACACCTGAGCAGATCATACGTGGTCCAACAGTTCCAAGATTAGTGGCAGAGCTTATCAGTCTCAAACCATCACTTTGTTTAGTGCTTGGTAGTCTACTCATAGACCTTAAGATCAGAAAGGATGATCATGATCATGTAGCCTGACCTCCTGCACTTTGCAGGCCAGAGAACCTCACCCACCCACTCCTGTAATAGATCTCTAACCTCTCGATGAATTACTGAAGTCCTCAAATCATGGTTTAAAGACTTCAAGTTACAGTGAATTCACCATTTACACTAGTTTAAACCTGCAAGTGACCCATGCCCCATTTTGTGGAGGAAGGCAAAAAACCCTCAGGCTCTCTGCCAATGCGACCCAGGGGAAAATTCCTTCCTGACCCCAAATATAGCGATCGGTTAGACCTTGAGCATCTGGGCAAGCCCCACCAGCCAGATACCTGGGAAAGGGACCCATCTCTCTTCTTTACAGAAAGAACAGTAGCTCTGGCAGGAGATGTTGAGTGACAGCTGAATCCCTTAGCTAGGTTCTCCTGGCTATACCAACAGAGGACTATGAATTCCAGCTCTGACATCGCATAGATCCAGCCATATGGAACTTTGGTCTGGGCTGCAGTCTATTGGACAGTTGCAGTCTCAATATGGGGGCTGTGCATTTGCATTTCTTTTTTCAAAGATGTTGGCATAGTCTTGATATTTTTTAGGAACATGGAGGGTCATCTCTGAGGAGCGTATACTCTGGCTGATGACTCAGCATGGGGTCCAGACAATGCTTGAGTTGCTGTTGTGTGGCAATGAGACCCAGGGTCCAGGGATTTGTGGTTCACAGTGCACAGGCAGACCTGCCTGCAGTATGCGGAAGAGAAGATAACCTTTTGCTCTCAGACGGATGCATGGATTGGTTATGCCAGCCAGGTTATGCCAAAGATCAAAGGGAAATGAGGGGAATGGATTATACTAAACTGCAATACTTCTTGGTTCCCCTGTATCACAGCCTCTGTTCACAGTGACACGGTCTCCTGAGTCACTGGTCCTGAGGAAAGGAGGGTCCCATATATTGTCACCACAAAACCAGGTGTGGTTTCTGTTGGGACAAGAATTCGCAGAGCCCAGGCCATCTCTGCATTCATGAAGCTGTCAGCAGCACCAAAGTCAATGATGGCCCACTGTGGGAGAATTCTCTGGGCCTTGCCTGGGATGTACAGCTGAACCAGCAGCTAGTGGTGTGGTGAGAGTCTTAGTGACCCGGGACAGGTCCCAGACAGGGTTTGGGAGGCATTCCAAGGGGTAGCTCTGAGGTTTTGTGCAGGTCTAGCTCACCTACGGGGCCTGGGATCATTTGTTCCTGACCCCTGCTAAGTAAGGGTTCTTAAGGGATACAAAGCAAGTGTGCGGCACACCTTACCATAGTAACAGAATAGATTGTTGAAGAAGAAGAACAGTGACGATGTGACAGTCAGCCACCTTCAGGTCAGGTCCACTTGCATAGTTTCAGGATTCTGGTCTGGAGGTGTTGGAGTTGGACCACTCTTCTCCTCTCTTCGCTCATGCAGCCAGTTATCAATGTGAAGAGTCAAGTCCATGAACGCAGTTAAGTCCATGGCAGCCTTCACCTGAGCTAACACATGTTTGATCTCTTGGCTGAGCCCTGCCCTGAACTGGCACAGCTGGGCTGCCTCATACCAATCGGTACATTCAGTAAGCTGAGGAAACCAAATGGCATATGTGGCAGCCAGCCTCGACCTTTGCTGGAGTTTCTCAATGGCAGCTGTGGCTGAGTGGGTGAGATGGAGGATGTTAAAGATGGTAGAGAAGGCTCTTAGGAAGGCATTTGCTTTGCTGCCCTGCTCCAGTAAGGGAGAGGCCCAGTCTAAGGCAGGCCCAGTCTAAGGCATCTCCCAACAACAGCCTTATCACCATCCCCATCTTGGCCTGTTCAATGGGGAAGGCCTGAGGACAAAATATGAAGAGGAAGCAGACTGGTTCATGATGCCTCTGAACTTCCGCTGGTCCCTGTCAAACCGTTCGGGCAAAGGCATGGCGGGGCTTTGTTCTGGGGACACGCTAGTGCCCCAAGCTTGGAATGCAGCATTTCCCACCTGCACATGGGTTACCTGGTCACATCAGATTTTATTTTCTGACAACATCTGCATCACTTGAGCACGTGAAGCCTGATTTTCTGCCTATATTTAAACAATCCACTCTGGCATATCCAGAGACCCTTAGACTTGTCTGGGCGCTGAAACGCCTTCTTTCCTCGCCAGGGCGTTGGATGCAGTGGGGTTAGATGGTCTGTGCAAGCTGTCAGAGCCAGGTCGTGGGCTGCCGGCCTCATGGCTAGAGCCAGAGTCAGACCATCAGGAATCAGAGTCGCAGGTCAACGTGGGATCAGGAACAGAATCTGAAGTTGAGGCCAAGTCAGGAGCCAAGAGGCAGGGCCAGGAGGTAAAGGCGAGGTCACAAACCAGAAGTCAGAAGCAGGCGACAAAGCCGAGTCAGAAACCGGGTATCAGAGCCAGGAGGGAAAAGCAAGTGTCAGGAACCAGAGTGAGGAAGCTAGGTTGGTAGCAGCAACTAGCTGGGGATCCACCTAGTTGCACAAACTTCCTGTATCCTCCCCAGGCTGAAATAGAATGTCCAGGCCAATCAGCAATCAGGAATGTCCTGTTAGTCAGCCCACTGTGGCTGGCACAGCCTACGGTGTAGGGACCTTTGAGGCTCGTGACCTGCCCAATGTGTCCACTGCCATAGCTGTTAGGTGCTGGCATGGAGATGGTTGCTGCCAAGGACTCTGCAACCCCATCTTCTTGACCTGCTGCTCCTTACAAGGGGTGAGGAGGAGACTTTTCCTAGGGGCAGGTTATCCCACTGTGCACCTTCCTCTCAAGCAGCTGCTTCTAGCCCTGTTGAAGACAAGACCCTGGCCTAGATGGACACTGGTCTGATTCAACCTGCCACACCCCAGATTCCTAAGCAGTCCCTCAAACTGTATCCTGTTTCCCTGGCTTGCCCTTGTCTATCAAGGCTGTTTGTCAGAAATCACCCAGCTTTCTCCTCCCTTAGCTTCTTTACCTGGGGAATACTTGGGGCAGAAGTGCTAGATGCCATTAATAATTCCACCATATAAGCAAGCTGGGAGGGGGAAAATTGCTAAGTTAATTTTTAGATCTATACCCAGGGGGCTTGAACTCTCAGCCTTTATAGCAAGAGGGCAGCTGTATCCGCACAAGGCCCCAGCACTGAAGAGCTCTGGTTGCTAATTAGCTACAAGATGCATGTCTGTTAGCCCACAGCTACAACAGACAGAGCACTCTGAGGACAGAATCATTCAAACATTGCCCATAAAGATTGCAGAGTTCAGGTCACACCTGTTCCCCTGGAGGCCGTTTCGCAGAGGGGCTTCACTTCTTCAACTAGAACTGAGAAGAAAAACATGAATTTCTTTCATCTCTGACGTGATGTGAGTGACTGACGCTTGGCAGTGTCAGGGTAACGCCAGCTGGGTCTGCAGGAGGTGGCAACAGGAGCTACTCACATGACTCTGAATAAGAAACAAATGTTCCAGATTCCACTTCTATAAACTGTCCCGTCTAGGCTGGGCAGTGCTATCTGGGGATTTATTATTATTCAAATAGCATCTAAGTCAGGGGTTCTCAAACTGGGGGTCGGGACCCCTCAAGGGGCCGTGAGACTATTACCTGGGGGGTCGCAAGCTGTCAGCCTCTACCCCTAACCCCGCTTTGCCTCCAGCATTTATAATGGTGTTAAATATATGAAAAAGTGTTTTTAATGTATAAGGGGGGGTCGCACTCAGAGGCTTGCTGTGTGAAAGGGGTCACCAGTACAGAAGTCTGAGAACCCTTGATCTAAGTGAATTGTGTCTGAGTCCACCCTACCTTCACCTCCTGCCATCATGGAGATGAGCGAGAAACTCTGCCGGATCAGAACGCTGGAGCTCACCTGCACTTTGCACTGGGATGAATGACAGCTCCAAGGGCAGGTCAGTGGAGAATGGGGCCCTTTGTAGCCAGTGCATCTTGGACTTTGTATGGAGTGGAAGGGCTGATCCTGCACATACCTAGGGTCTTGGAGGAGCATGGACTGGAGCAGTTAGCCCAGGGCATTGTTTGCACTGCTGTGGCCATGCTGCTATTTGTAGCTAGCTCAGGCAAAGCTAGCATGTGTATGTCTCCCCAAGCTGGAGATTATCCCCCCAGCTCCAGTGTAGATGGACCCTGACCCTGCAGCAGATGGGAGCAACCAGGGCACCGGAATCGGGGGGATAGGTGGCCATGGCCCCACCACTTTTAAAACCTTTTTTTACCGGCCGTAAGGAAGATTGATGGGGAGAGGAGGCAGAGAGGAGTGAGCAGGGAGGAAGGGGCAGTGCAGGGGTGGGGCCACAGTTCAGGCAACAGTAGCCCTCCCACTTTAAGGAAGCTTCCCCTGCTCCTGGGAACAACCTGTGACTGCAACCAAGCCACTACCACCTGGAATCAGCAGCCTGCAGACTCAATGTCCCCACTCTGTATCTGTGCATTGGTGGGTCAAATGGGGGGCAAATTCCCCTTTGCCTGTAAGCACCCCTGTTTCCTCCCATCAGTAAGGGTCTCTTCCATCTCCCACGTTCTCCCCATGCTCCCACGGGCTCAAATCCACTTGCTATAGCCCCTGCTCTCGTTGGCTTCTGTCACTTCATGGCAAACCCCTGGACCCCAGTGGCTGTGAGCAACTGGGACCTGGATCTGGCCTGACAGCAGGCAGGGTGTTCGGCTACCTCCTGCCCTCCCACAGTGCACGGAGCTGTTAGGACCACAGCCCTACCTGAAGCAGGAGAAGATGCCGATGGCCAGGAGCAGAGCAGCCAGGGAAGTGGAATAGCCACAGGTATAAAGCACCTTCACGGTAGCAAAGTAGGCCCCCTGAAAGAGAAAGGCACAGCTGAGTTAGCAGGTCAGCGCGGCAGTGCCATGCAGCTGTGCGGGCACTAGGGCATGGCTGTGGAGCCGGGAGCACCACTGACTCTCTGGACACGCTGCTCCCTGACGCGCAGTGGGGCGGAGAGGTGGGGTGGAGTGGAGGGAACATGCTGCTGACAGACTTTGGGTCTTGCTGTGTTCATGCCATCATCTATGAGGGCCCCAGGGGACCAGGCCTGCCCACTAGAGCCCTCAGCAAACCGCGCACCAGCCCCAGGGGACCTGGCCTGTTCCCTAGAGCCCCCAGCATCCTGCCCACCAGCCCCAGGGGACCCGGCCTGCCCCAGAGAGACCCCAGCTAACCATCCACCAGCCCCAGGGGACCTGGCCTGTTCCCTAGAGCCCCCAGTATCCTGCCCACCAGCCCCAGGGGACCTGGCCTATCCCAGAGAGACCCTGGCTAACTGCCCACCAGCCCCAGGGGACCTGACCTGCCCCAGAGAGACCCCGGCTAACCACCCACCAGCCCCAGGGGACCCAGCCTGCCCCAGAGAGACTCCGGCTAACCACCCACCAGCCCCAGGGGACCTGGCCTGCCCTAGTTAGTGGAGCTCAGTTTGGTGCAGATGTGGGCTCTCATCAGTGTTTAATTAAATCTAGGCTGGTTCATTTTTAACCAACTATTCCATTAAGTGGCAAACCCCAGAGCCCCCTGCGCAGCCTTGCAATGGGGATACCAGCCCCCGCCCCACTCCTGGCACAGTCTTGCTGCACTTGCCTTGGCTTCTGTGTCCTTATTGCTGCCATCCAGCTCGCAGGCATAGTACGGGGGGCTGGGGCTGCTCCAGCCAGACTCGGTGCAGTTCCTGCGTATCAACACTGCATCGACAAAGTGAAGCTCTTACAAGGACCTTTCCCTCAACCCCCAACCTCCTTGCCAGCACCCAGATCCTGCCCCGGCCCCCAGCACCCAGGCTGCACTGTAGTGTTTCTGCTCCGATGTCAGGTTCTGGTTCTCAGCCAGGCCCCTGAGGCTTGAAGCTGGGGGCCCCATCCTGGATGCCTGGCGCTGACAACCCTGCTGTAACTGGAGAAGAGGGATTTGGAGGGCACTCGACGCCACTCATGCCCAGCAGCGCGGTGCAGTGGGCAATAGCATGGGGTACTCTGTTCAGAACTGCCTTCCCCAAGGAGGCCTTCAAATAGGGGAGTCACCAGTGCCAATGCGAGAGGGGCTAGGGACTCTTGGCAAATGGTGTGGCCCCATGGGGCAGGACGTCAGCCTACAGGAGTCGGGATGTCCCAGACCACTCAGCACTGGCCTAACCCTGCTCCAGCTGGTGGCATTGGGAACAGTAAAGCCAATACCGAGAGCTTTTGGGAATCCCACCTAGCACAGAAGAACTAGACTGGAGGCCATCACACAGCCCTCTGTGTAATGTCTATGGATTAGCCCTAACATACATCACACAGCATATATGCATCCCAAAGACCATTTCATCACAGCCTCAGTTGCTGGTAAGATTCTCAGCAAGTCTCCATCTCAGCTGACCCGTCCCAGGCCTACGCTCTAACCCAAGGCAAATGTTTATCAAAGCCCCGGAGCATTAATAAATTATACTCATTTGCCCCTGCGGCCGATCAGTCAGTTTTCTTTGTGCTCTGACAATGCTGAAATGGGTGCACTCAGAACCTCGCTTGGCTGCAGTCAAAGCCCAATAAGGGACTCTTGCTTTGCTACTAGGAAAGAACAGCTTTGAAATAATGATAATATCTGATTCATATCTAGCACTTCTGAGCAGTAGATCTCAATCTCACAGTGCCAAGGAGGTCGGCATCATTATCCTCATTTTACAGATGGGGAAACTGAGGCACAGAGCAGGGACGTGATTCACCTGGCAGAAGAGCCAGGAATAGAACTCAAGCTTGCTGTGCCCCAGGCCAACATTCACTCCATTAGGCCCCACTGCTGCCTACAGGTAACTGTTTTAAGGTGCATGCCCAGGGCCCCACTGCCCATCAATGCAGCTGTCCGGAGCCAAAGAGTCACACTGCACACGTCAGGAGATGTGTGCATCACACCAGGCTGAGAGGAAGCAGAAGAGCTTTGCTCTCTGGTGGCCTTTATATCGGACCTTCCTGCCCCCAACTCACTGTGATGATGGTGTTTGGAATTACCTCCTTCTGCCCTGGTCCCTGCCCCTTTAAGGTGGGCTGGAATTTGAGAGGCCTGCCCAGAAAGGTGTGGGGAACTGGGCTGGTACTGCTAGGGCCCAGCGCAACTGGCAGCCTCTCCACTGTCCACTGCAAGTGTCCGGCTCCTAACAGTGCACAGCACCCCAGAGTGTTCAGGGCCAGAGTGTGCACTAATTGACTCCAAGGGGTGATTCGATCCCATGACAGACTCTTCTGACCCTGTTATGAGCCTGGAGCCCTCCTCTCTCTCTCTGTGTTTGTCTCTCGCTCTGTCCAGAAGGGTCACGCCACGTGCAGGCAGACAGAGGGACTACCCTGGGAGGAGCCCTCTCCTTCACTAGGGAAGACCCTGGGAGTGGGCTGCTGGGTGGCTAGACAGCCCCTTTCCAGGCATCAACAGTGGGAAAGGCCTGGCTAGTTAGGGGGCTGGCAGGATTAGAGATCCCACTTCTTCTTCCAGCCCAGGAGAAAAGGGGTGCTGGGGAGAAAGACAGGGGTGCATGCTGAAGCTGCAGAGACTAAGGGCTGGAGGACTGGTGCTAGAAGCAGCCTGTGGGCCTGCTCCACATGGTGCCACAAGCCAGAATCAGCCAGAGCCCAAAGGAGAGGAGGCACCTGACTGTTGGATGGATGACAGATGCTGAAGGGGCACTCGCACTGTGTCTCTGCTGATGAAGGGTTGGGGTGATTCCTGAGTCCCTGCCCTCCCCAAGGGCAATAGGAGCAGCCTTTGCTAGAACTGAGCAAATCACTGATTGAAATGTTTTATTCAATCAGAAACTGAAACAGCCAAAGCGAAGCTTTTCGGCTTTTCAAAAATATTCTTCCATTTTTTTTCTATTCACTGAATACCTCCCAAATTCGGGAACAGTTTCAGAGTCCCGTAAAACACATTTTTGTGCAAATGCACTATTTGCTGAAAACAGTTCACCCCCCAGCTCTAGTCGCCATCCCCAGCAAGAGGTGGGAGTGAGGAACTAGCTACCTGAGCACAGAGCCCCCAGCACAGTGGCTTTGAGGGATACCGGCCCCTTTACTAGAGGGCTGTGGGGTGCCAACACCGCACCTTGAGATTTCTTGAATACTTGAAGGACCTCTTGACAGGTCACTGCTTGGGACTGGCCAATTGACACCGCCGGCCAGCAGCTGACGCCATCCCACTCCCTCAGGCAGCCTGGGAGAACCAAGAACAACGTTAGCATTGGGGGTGGAAATGAGCAAGTCACCATGTGGCATCTGGAGAGCGTAGCCATCATTTGGTGGGGACCAGGGCAAGTCACCCCCAAAAGAGAAAGGGGTCTCCTCATCAGCTGCTACCCCATGGCCTCCCCTCATTAGAACACAGCACCCCCACCTGCAGAGCGGGTTACCCAACCGCAGTTCCCTTCTCCCAGTCCTGGGCCAACTCACTGCAGTCAGTAAAGGAGAAATTTCACACCAGATCCTCAGATAGGTGTTAGAAATAAAACCACTGCTGCGTCAACGTGCTGTCATTTAAAGTGAAAGCCAAAGGCAGGTGAGGCTACAGTAGCCTCAGAATTTGGATGGTGGCTGCCCATCTCTGCGAGCAGGGGTACAGTTGCTCTATAAGAGGAGAGCAGCTGCACTGTAGCAAGCTAGTCTTTAAAGATTTGATCCCCCTGGCTCCTTCCTCATCTATGCAACCCCCCTGTGGGAATTCGAATGCATGCAGTGCAGGGGGTGTGCAGCAGACTGGGTCATTCACCTATGCAATGAGGATTCCTAACTCCAGAGGAAGCCAGACAAAATACAGATCCCCTAAAGCCAATGGGAATAAACTCTGCTCAAAGGAGCAGTCAGTTCTTTTCTTGAAGTCTGACAACAGCTGGATTGGCTAAGTCAGGGTCATGCAGCCCTTGACAATCACCCAGTAGTCCACCCAGTACAATACCAAGTATTGTTATTCCCCATCATACCGATGGAGGCACTGAGACCCAGCAGTTAAGTGACTGTCCCAACACCACACAACTCAGTGGCAGCGCCAGGACTAGAACTGAGGAGCTTGTACCTGCCACTGTTATGTGTCTTCTGCTAGACCATGGCTCTGGGGTGGAAAACAGCTTCTTGTTTGCAAAGGGAAGTCATGCAGTCAAATAGGGTTACCCCCTAACAGCTAAGCTACAAGATCCCCCAAGAGCACATTCACTTTCCTATAGTCCTCTGTGTTGGTTGGGTTTGGTCTCATTTGATGGCACTAAGAATAATTCTGTCCTACTTGTTTGATACCATGGTTACCACTGACAATGTGTTGTGTCTCATGCTCTTTATACCACATAAATAATGCGAAGAAACCATAGGGTACAGCTGGGTTCCACAGAACCATATGTACCAGAGCTGTGTGAAAAGCAAAGTCTCTGTCCTAGGAGAAATTCTGATATTTCAACAGTTTTTTGGTCCCAGATCAGGGCAAAAATGAAACTTTCCTTGGAACAAAGAGTTCAGAAAAATTTTAATTCATAAATGACAAAAAAATTGTTGAACGCAGTATAGTTGTAGTTATGTCAGTCCCCCGATATTAAAGAGACAAGATGGGTGAGGTCACATCTTTTATTGGAGCAACTTCTGTTGGTGAAAGGGACAAGCTTTCAACCACACAGAGCTCTTCCTGGGGTCTGGGACTGGAAAAGGTACTCCCAGCATTACAGTTTATGGCTTATTACAACAATCTGTAACCCATTAACCCCCTCATTTTGTCCTATGACTGCAGAGGTGTAAATGGACCACTCTACCTTGAATGGGCCCTTACAATATCTGCTAACTACTTATGCTAAACAATCTGTTCCACCTTTCATTTAGCTGTAACACTTTGAGTACCTTTCCCAGACCTGGAGAAGAGCTCTGTGTGGCTCGAAAGTGTCTCTCTCTCACCAACTGATTGGTCCAATACAAGATACTACCTCACCCACCTTGTCTGTCTAAAATGTTTTGTTACAAGTCAGTTCAACATTAAACTGCATCTGCTTGATATACTGCAGTTCATCATATGGGCCCAGCTCCCAGGCCACACTACATCTCCCATGATGCACCAAAGTTATGGGATTCCCATGATGCAGCACTGTGGCTTTATCAGAGGGGAGACTTTGGTGCATCATGGGAGATGTAGTCCAGACAGGGAGCCCAAACTACAACTCCCATGAGGTACTGTGACAGCTCATGCAGACAAATTAATATCAAACTGGCTCAAAACTAAATGTTTTGATTTAGTTCAACAAATTGAAATGTTTCAATTTGGGCCAACCTGAAACAAAATGTTACATTTGGATTTTGCCAAAGGAAAATCAAAAAAGTTCAGCAAAATTGAAATTTTTCCGCAGAAAATTTTGATTTTGTGAAAACTGTATTTCCGTATAAAAAAAAAACATTTTGATGGAAAATTTCTGACCAGGTCTAATCATAACAATAATAATAATACCTAGCACTTATCTAGCACGTTTCATTAGTAGCCCTCAAAGTGCTTCATAAAGGAGGTAAGTATCATTATACTAAGCCAACTCTTGTGTTTACTAACCCTACGCAAACATGGCAGGCCTAGCTACCTAGAGCAGCAGGATGTAACTGGTTTCCGGAGGCTTCTAAAAACCAGAGGACACTGTGAGCACCACAAGAGGGCTCACAATCTATTTAAAGTGATATTACCCTATTCCTATACATGTGTGGTGCCCAACCTTATTACACAGGAGAGCCTCATAAATCTAAGCATAACCTTGTGTGGGCCAAATAGATTCTACATATTTTAATATTTAAAGTCACATGCATTGATATATATATTAAGTTCAGCTCATATCATAGAATCATAGAATATTACAGTTGGAAGAGACCTCAGGAGACCTAGTCCAACCCCCTGCTCAAAGCAGGACCAACACCAACAAATTCATCCCAGCCAGGGCTTTGTCAAGCCTGGCCTTAAAAACCTCTAAGGATGGACATTCCACCACCTCCCTAGGTAACCCATTCCAGTGCTTCACCACCCTCCTAGTGAAATAGTGTTTCCTAATATCCAACCTAAACCTCCCCCACTGCAACTTGAGACCATTGCTTCTTGTTCTGTCATCTGCCACCACTGAGAACCACCGAGCTCCATTCTCTTTGGAATGTCCCTTCAGGTAGCTGAAGGCTGCTATCAAATCCCCCCTCACTCTTCTCTTCTGCAGACTAAACAAGCCCAGTTCCCTCAGCCTCTCCTCATAAGTAATGTGCCCAGCCCCCTGATCATTTTCGTTGCCCTCTGCTGGACTCTCTCCAATTTTTCCACATCTTTTCTGTAGTGGGGGACCCAAAACTGGACGCAATACTCCAGATGTGGCCTTGCCAGTGCCGAATAGAGAGGAATAATCATTTCCCACGATCTGCTGGCAAAGTTCCTACTAATGCAGCCCAATATGCCATTAGCCTTCTTGGCAACAAGGGCACACTGCTGACTCATATCCAGCTTCTCATCCATTATAATCCCCAGGTTCTTTTTCTGTAAAACTGCTGCTTAGCCAGTCGGTCCCCAGCCTGTAGCGGTGCATGGGATTCTTCCGTCCTAAGTGCAGGACTCTGCACTTGTCCTTGTTGAACCTCATCAGATTTCTTTTGGCCCAATCCTCTAATTTGTCTAGGTCACTCTGGACCCTATTCCTACCCTCCAGTGTATCTACCTCTCCCCTCAGTTTAGTGTCATCTGCGAACTTGCTGAAGGTGAAATTCATCCCATCATCCAGATCATTAATAAAGATGTTGAACAAAACTGGCCTCAGGACCGACCCCTGGGGCACTCCGCTTGATACCGGCTGCCAACTAGACATGGAGCCATTGATCACTACCCGTTGAGCCCAACAATCTAGCCAGCTTTCTATCCACCTTATAGTCCATTCATCCAATCCATACGTCTTTATCTGTATTTAGATAAACAATACTGTACATAGAAACAACCTGTTTACACACTTGTGTAAACTAAAATGTAAACATGATGAGAAAACGCTAATGAATCGGCTGTTAGTATATTGTGTTGAAGCAGTTCTGTGGCCTTATGAAACGCTCTGGTGGGCCATGTATGGCCCGCGGGCCATAGATTGGGCACCCCTGCTATGCATGATATAATCATCCTGTATGAAACCAAGGGCTCGCCAATGCAGCATAAGTTTGGGTTATTTATTGGACTCTTCGAGCATGCAGGCAGCTGGAATCATCCCTGCAAAATCAGAAGTGTTCCTGCTATCCAATGTAGAGGAATGTGATTATTTCAGATATGGACTGACTCTACTGCCCTGAACCTTTAACCTTGGCTCTGTGGATGAGTGGAAAGCAGTGGATGTGTTATTCCTTGACTTTAGCAAAGCTTTTGATAGTGTGGAAGCAAAAAAAAAAAACTGACAGGAAGGGGATGCAATGCATGACAGTTTGTTAGCAAGAGTTAGGCTAACTGTAACCCTAATAACGTGAGATTTGTAAAAGCGAGGAATGTGTGAGGCGAGTGGGAAAGAACTGTGTGAAAAATTGTTGCAACCTTGTATAAATAATATGTAAATAATATGGAATGTAGACTAAAAGTCTACATTAGTAAGCAAAACAAAATATCAAAATAACCTATGTATAAACAAAGTGCAGCTGTTGCTCATTATTATCTATAACAAAAAATATAAATGCTTGCTATAATTGTTTACCTGTTAAAAAACCTGCTTAGCTCTCTCCCTCTATAAAATTAATAAAAAAAATAAAATAAAGCATCTGACTTGCTGTACCCAAACAAAAAGTAAAAACTCTGTTATTCTCCGACAATAGGGTCTCCCACAGTATTCTTGCCCCCGCTCCCCACCTAGCTACGCTACTGCCTGGAAACCCCTCCATTTTGTCTTCAATCCTGTTTCTTACTTCTGGAGGAACCTTGCTACAAACTGAAGCTCTGAACAAAAGCCTGATTGAGCCATCCCAACTGTGGATGTACTCCAGAGACTTGATTTGAGCCTGCAGTTTATTCCATTACTGCTACAAGCCTGAACTTTGCCATTACTGTATGTAATTGATTCCATTTAACCAATTCAACTCTCATCTATATTTCTTTCTTTTTATGAATAAACCTTTAGATTTTAGATTCCAAAGGATTGGCAACAGTGTGATTTGTGGGTAAGATCTGATTTGTATATTGACCTGGGTCTGGGACTTGGTCCTTTGGGATCAGGAGAACCTTTTTTCTTTTACT